AATATAGATTGTTGTAATTTATAAAAGTGTCTATATAATGCACTCCACCATACCCGTTCTAAGAAAGACAGGTCTTATACCCTTTGCCTAATCAAACAGGCTAAGCAATCTTTTTTAAGCATTATGTTATTATTTACTATTTATGAAAGAAATGCAAACAGACATAAATGCGCTTTGTTTTTAAAGGAAATGAGACTCCAGTATACACCCAAAATAGAAGCGGACAGACGTACTTCAGTCGGACGCAGAGATAAGGAGCGTTAAATCATTGCTTTGTTACGAATTAGAAATAAAAGATAACAATACTTTTTTTTACAATCTATCGACAAATTTATGTCTATAGTGTGTACTTGGGCGTAGTATCAATTTTATTTCCATGCAATAATATCACCGTCGTTACTATCACTTTTCATTTTCCTTAGCTCTTACCAAGATGTAACTAACTTAAGAATAATTAAGGCCGAGTTTATGAAATTTTAGAGAGAAAGAGATCGTTTGCAGGGGATTTCCTTAGTACTATTATTTCGACCAGTAAATCAATATTAGTTACCAGGCATTAGTCATTTTTCTAACCTAAATAAATCTCACGCATGGAATTTGACTAAACGCTTAATTATGCCATTCGTATCGTAGTTTCCTGCCTCGAATCCATTTAAATGTTAACTTCTGTTATTTGATGCCCTCCACATTGCAGAGATTTGATTTGTAGACACAAGTCGTGCATTTATTCAGGTTTAAGTTTTTAATTTAAACCTTCTAAAGGCTCTGTTGTACTTTCACAGATGAAGCGATAAACTCGCTTGTGGGTTTTAAGGAGACTGAAGAACTTTTAGTTAACTTACAGAGAATAACTCTACAAGTTGAACACTAGATATTATGTAACTTAGCAGTTTATTCCATTCCTTATAGATATGTCTTCCAGTTGCAAATGCGAAAAAGGAGTCCTATCCTGAATCTCCAATAATTTCAATAATCTGTCACTGGAGTTAAGCTATTAAAATCACAAAATTAATTAGTTTACTTGAGGGTTCATTAAACTAAGTTGAGAAAATAAAGCAGAATTCATCTGAGAATTATCCATCTGAAATCAGATACAAACCCTCGAAAAGACTGTACCATAAAACAGATTTGGTGCTGCAAGATTTCATTAATACATTAATACTGCAAGATATATTCGATGTCAGATGGCTAAATGGAATGAGTAAAGACATCAGGCATGGAATCTCTTGATGTCACAGCACCGAAAGTAACTTCCATACCAGCTATAGTTCCGCTGGCAATTTTTTTTACTTTCCAAACCAAATTGTTTCTATTAGAAGGGAGATGCGTATAATTCCAAAAATTAAAATGAAGAGAATACGAAAAGATGACAAGAATATGAGATCTGAGTGGTCTTAATGATTTCAGAACTACAAACTATGAAAAGCTGTTTATAAATTGTTCATACAAAACTTTCCCTAAAAGTTGCCGAGCTGATAAAAATAGAAAGGCTTGGTGAGTGCTATGAAATCAGTCCAAATAGTTACAGCGCCCATGCTATAATTTCATACATGGCTCGATTAAACTAGCTTGGCAGCCCTAGGCACTGTGCTTTTTCAGAAGTCCTCAGTGCCCATATTCCTCATTTTTTAAGCCATTTAAAGACAGGATTATAGGAAATTTGGGCCCCTTTGAGAGCTCAAACTGTTTTATGCTTCTTTTGAATATTTAAAAAAATCTGATGTGTACACCACATGACTTCCTTGTATTGGAATATTAAATTATACGCATTTTTTCTTGCATTTCATTTAAACTTATTAGATTGAATTAAATCTACTTCGCCGACAGCGCATAAACCACAATAGAATAAATGCATTCTTTAAAATTTAAGCTAGTGATTGTTTACCATAGCGACACTCTGGCGCTAAATTCACTTAACAGTATTAATAATTATATAACAGTTACTTATATAATAATTATATAACGGAAACTAAGTTAACTGTTATATAATCCAGTAATTATATAACAGTTAACTTATATTTCGTCCATATTATAACTCATAATGCACAAAATTTATATCATTTAAAGAATAGAATTATCTAATCGTTGCCACATGTTCTATTCAAATACTATAATAAAGCTAGAATGATGTATAAAAGAAATTAAGCAAAACAAAAAAGAAACAGTTTTTCACAGACGATTGAGTATTTCTCATTTAATTAATTCAGTTCTCACTTCGCGAGAAGGCAAAAATACATTAAAAACTCAAAATATCTATATTAAAAATTACGAAGTAAATCTCAAACACTTATTTCCTCGAAAAAATTCCAGAAAGAATTAAGCATGATTTAATTGGCAATAATAAATGAATGCGTTATCTTTGTTGTTGCGAAGCTAAGTTTCTCTAGATTGGCAACAAATCCACTAGTCTCCTGTTTCAAATGTAAACATCAATGGCCGCCATTAAAAAAAGGCTTAGCGGAAATTAAACTACTTTAAAATTGCTGATAATTCTAAAAATATCGCACAATGTACAATTTACAAACATATAAGAGTAAAACTGAGATTACTGAGCCGGGTAACAGAGTGGATATATATATAAATATATTTTAATACGTTTGGTGCGGCAGATTGCAACCAAAATACGAGGTGCACATCTACATGTTATAGCAGTCCTATATACAAAATTTCAATGTTCTGAGGCTACTCGTTTTTGAGTTATGCGAGATACGTACGTACGTACGTACGCACGTACGTACATACGTTCGTACAGACGCCGCGAAAAATTCCCTTCAGAATTAATTTTAAAGCAGTTTTATAAGTTTTTTGAAGGAAAAGAGTATTTTATTCTGTCCTTACGTACAGATATCACGCAAAAACATCGTTAAATTGCATTCGATAGCGGTCAAAATGGATATTTTCGTTGAAATATGCTGCCTGAAACTTTTCGCGATTATAATACTTCCTTTTTACTTCGTACAAGGAAGTAAGAAATATTCCTTAAGAAAAATAATACATGACGCTTTCTTTTAGGTCAAGCAGGCTTTTCCAGTCGTTATAACTCCAGTTTTGATGCTTACTGAATTACTCTCAGTATTTTGCGGATTTCATCTGTTTAATCAGCGGTTTTCGTGTTTCAGAACGATCGTATGACCCAAAGGTAAGGAATTTTCAAAGAAAGAAATTTTCCGCATGAAATCAAGCTATCTCTACTACTACTTATTTGTTCCGTTGTGAAATTTTATTATTATTATTAGTAGTAGTAAAAGTATAATAGGAGTATTATAACTATGATATTTTTAAACTGTATAAGATAAAAAAAAAAAAAAAAGTTTAACATGGGAACAGACATGAAGTAATCAGTTTTCATGCCCTAATTCAACTAAGAAACGGCACGCGGGCCGTGCCATTGTAAGGTTTTAGCTGATCATCCACCCGGCTTGGCAAATCGCTAGTTGTCAGTAGAACTGGCGTTCAGTGACTCATAAGATCTTTATACTATTTCAAATTAGAATTATATATTTCTTATAAAGGTGATTTATTTAATAGTGATATACTTTTATTATTTATTTTTAATGTTTCTAAATGATGCAATTCATAATAAGGCTAATTCTTTTAATTTATAACACATCTGGCTGATAATTTTATAAACATATGGGCCATCATTTTAAATTACAAAAGATATTTCTAATGCCATATAATATTAATACTCTATGAATATATTGTCATATAGTATAGACATATAGCTTAATCGTTTGTGCGCAACCTAGCAAAACGTTTTCTATTTCTTCGAAGAAATAGAAATTGAGCTTTATAACTCTCAAGTTCGTAACTTAGACTAGGACTCAAGCCAGATACTTATTTGTTTAAAACGACATTCTCGAATGCTTTACTGGGCAACTTGCAGTTTTACTTTATTTTTTTCGCTCTAAGGTCCAACCATCCTTATTATTCATCATTTCTTCTTACCTATGTGCAACATTTTAACAACATCAATTACTAAATTGAATGCTTCTAATAATTTTGAATTCCAGTATAATAACTGTGAAAACAGTGAGATTAAGATTAGTTCTGTGCTAGAATCCTGACGCTTTTAAATTGAAGTAAAACTTGCTGAAGAACTACAGCACATCTTCTTTGTAAATACATTTCACAAATTCTCTGCCTTTTCTTTAAATTGTATTCCTATATAAAATCGGTTTTTACAAAAGTATAACCTGGAAATTAACTTTTTAAGGAAGAAACTGAAGAGATATTAATAAATAACTATGCTGAGAAGTTAATTCTTTCCCTGTACAATGAATTATGAAATTGAAACACATTATACTGAATTTCATGGTCTAATCTAAAGATTAAACACGTTTGCGTTCATTCTGGGTATGACAGTCATTTTTTCTTGTGTAATAGCTTAAACTGCAAACAGTTTTTTTTAATAATCAAGTAAATTGATATGAAAGCATGCATGGATATCATTGAAAAATTCGAATGCAAGAGAAGAAGAAGTAAAAATAAAAATTATTGCAACTAGCTGTGAGGGTAGGATATATGCTCTAAACTTATATGCAATCTTTGAAGAAATGAAAAAGCTACTATTAAATTTGCGTTTGAAAATAAAACACAAAAATAAATAAAAACATTAAAATACCTAGATTATTATTGCAAAAATTTACAATTTTCTATAAATTTATGTCATTATTTATAGAGTCACCACGGTAAGTGAGCCGTAGAACATCTCGTATTTACTTCATACTGAGCTTTGATAAAAGTTTGCCAAAAGTAATAAATTAACATTAAGAATATATTGAACATAGGGTTCAAAGTTCTACTTTAAATTTCAGCATTTTATTAAGAGCCAATATGATAATATGCGCAATTTACCGATGTCTCCACTAGATTGACAAATTCTGTTACATGTTTGCGAAGATAGCAATTTGAACCAATGTCTGATTTCTTGGGAACTATCATTATAGCAGTACGCAATGTAAAGTCTCGACACTGCTGGGAAATACCCTTCAGTTTCCCGGATCTCTTTTCATCAGACCGAAAATCCAATAGTGAAAGTCTTATCAACGACATGGAGACACTATATATCTGAGGACGAAAAAAGAGTAGTTTATCTTCCGCGTCTTCTTCTCTCCGGTATCATGCTGCTGATTCTTTGCGGTAAGCGCCAGTTCCTTTTTTTTTTTTTTTTTTTATTTTATTTTGTTTTCTGTGCAATGCAATAGAATATTTTCAGCAGACAAATTTTAACTGGTCAGCCTAACTTCTGTATTCTTAATTCATTTCTGAAGGAAAAGAGTCTAAAGCATAAATTAAGCGAATGGTATTGCTCTTTACCTGTCTTATGCGTATGCTAATTACTTATTAGTAATTGATTACAACTGATTAACTGTTCATATAAATCTTCTAACTCGATTTTACACTAATCATAGAGAAATAATTTTAATGAAAACATTTCATGTCTTGTAAATCATTAAGATCATTTGATAATTTAAATTATCATGAGCTTGTCAGCTGAATATAAATATTTGCATATAAAAACTATTTAAAATATGAGTTTATTAGCGAAAATTTCCATTGCCCATTTTTGCGATTTCTTCGTTCTATTATTCATGCTCAATATATTAAGGAATTTAATCGACTGTTGACTCATGAACCCTATATTTTTATGTACTGTATGCAGATAAAGTCAGAATAAAACGTTTATTTTTATGTGTTAAGTCATAATTAATTTCACATTCTATCATTATTGCTTTATTATATCTCAGTCTACATTCATTGTTTGTCTGAAATTTTAAAGAGCGGAAAATCTGTGTTTGCATTTGTAAACACTTTCCCCCTTTTATGTGTGACTTTATTATTTTATACAATTACTTTAACAACCATTTTTTATGTTAAGTTATTATTTCATACTTCTGTTTCCTTTATGTATTAAAATTATATTTTACTGTATTCCTATTAAATCATTAATTATGTTGTGTGCTTATACTATAATGAGCAAAACTGCTGTATTTAGTATTGATAGTTTTCCGGTCAACGGATTTCTCAATAAGTTCCAGTTCATGATAGGAGTGGGACAACGTGATTAATAATAGATAAAGACAAACTGTACCAATAGTTAGCTGCCAGTGGTTAAACGTATATACATAGTAGCACTCCGATTACCCAAGGTTCTATGGGATAATTCCCAGATGAACTTGCAATAATAATATGCTGTTTTTCTTAGAAAAGCTTTACAGTTTGCTGTATAGTCAGTGTTAACTATTGGAGCGTTTTTAAAGTGGTGGCTTCCGAAGTAATTTTGCATGACCTGGAAAACATTTTACTTATGTATTTGTTGTTAATAATACGGCCCATATTACTTTTAGAAACATAGATATATGGACTCACCCTGTGCGCGTGATTCCTTTTGAAGCAAATACAATGAATACTTTGGAGCTTTGCCACTGTATGATATATAATGCATAAAATATATGCTTATGTGTCAAGTTACGTGACTGGCGTAAGTTGGAAGAACTTCCTACGTCGGTACATTCAGTACAATTAGTTCGCCAGCCTATAGGTAGTGGCGCTTCATTATTCTATTGTTTCCGGGTTTTTTTTTATCCTGTACTAAATTGGTATTTCTGTTAAACGCTTTCCTTCAGTCAGTCACTAATTGGTTAGCGGTTAGCTGGATGCAGAGCTGCGCAATTTATTTTGCGATATAGACGGAGACTAACTAATATACATCTCATAAAAAAAGAATGTTTGTGCTTGCTGTTACATATACATTATCACAACTCGTATAATTTAGAACTGTGCATAACATTTGAATGTTGCTATCATACGAAAATTCATCTTGTTAAATTAAAGTTGTAAATAAAGTTATAATAGAAATTTTAATTAAGAGATAAAACTGAGAGCCACTTATTAAAAATAAAAGATAAGCAAACGAAAAAGTTCAAGTTAAGTCGGATATTGCGTATTTTTGTGGTAACGTGAACAATAAAACTGCGTGTCATATTTGTAGTAAGAGGATATCATTTGCAAAAGAATACAATTTACGTCATGCCGATTAAGTAAAGAATCCTATTGACTGATGAGCTTCTGCAATACTTGATAAAGATAGTTTCCAGTAACACTTTTCCGTTACAGATTTGATCAAAATCGAAACCCCACTAATTTTTAGTAAGACATAAAGAAATTTATGATTATTTATTTACAAACATATGTATTTTGCTTCTGTATGTATCAGGGAAAAGGGAAAAAAAACGGGTTGCCATTATTTATTTTAAAGCTTTAACCCACCAAGAAATTTTTCATAATTTCTTTATTTTTAGTTTAAGCTATTTAGGGGTTAATTCAAAATATTCAAATTATTCTAAATCAATGTTAGATCTCAAAACTGAGCATTTACGAAGTTCGATATGTTCATTTGATATATTGCATTGATACGTTCGAATTACAAAGTTTAACTAACAGAAATTTCCTGCAGGTACCGACGTTTAAATTTCAGACAGAAATTAAATACAAATTCGAATTTTCCATTGCATTATTGATATTATCGTTGTTGACGCATGTCTTCATAAATACTTATTAAAGTAAATTTAGTATATTTAATCAAGAAAAATTTAAAAATTAGAAAATTTTATTTTGTTGTTTATTTTGTTTAAAATAAAACAATTTCATTAAAAAAAAAAAAATCTGACCAATCAGTAGCTTTCAGATTACGCTTTCGGCCCGAATGCAATTTAAGTTTTAAAAACCAAAAAAAAAAAAAAAAAAAAAAAAAAAAAAAGAAGAAGAAGAAAGAAAAAGAAAAATAGGCATAGAAATTCTGATTTAAATAAGAACGTCCCATTTTTCCTCAAGTTAGCATTATATAATTCAGATTAAATTACAACAATGCGCTCATTAAAATTACTTGTTCGAATCTTTTTTCTTCGTCTGTGGTCTGCCATATCATTACTTTCCTGTGAATATTTTTTAAGGTTTTACTTTGAAGGACACAGGTACACTGCTCAAAAAAAAAAAAAAAAAAAAAAAAAAAAAAAAAAAAAAAATGGGACAGTGCTATATCTCCCGTTCTACTGGGCCGATTGACAAAATTCAAACTGCGTTTTTTCATGTCTCGAAAGCGCGACTAGGATATATATTAGATTTATATATAGCACTATTCTAACATAGGTATTTTGACACAAAATCGGACTTTTTCTGAAATAACATACCAATTTTTTTTACACATTTCGATTCTACGACTCAAATTATGCCAGAATATACCAAGTTTTGTAAAAATCGTACGAATAGTTTTTAAAATATTAGCTCTCAAAATTTTAGCTCCTCAATGTTAATTGAATTTGGCAAATATTTATTATATCTCTTTTTTATTTTAACTTTTTTTTTTGATTTTTTTTTTTTTTTTTTTTCTTCTCCACATTTCGAAATTTTGGTTCATTCCAAATAAAATTTACCCATTTTTTGCGTTTATTTTTTAAAATTTCTATTTTAAATAATTTCTATAGATTTTTCGAAAAAATTTTTGAATTATAACCTATAAAATTTTAACCATCATCTTAAAGTAGGTGTATTTTTAGCATATCTGTAGAAAATTAGACTTTTTTTATTCAAAATTTTCTAAGATATACACGAATTTACATAATTTCGCGTTTTGAAATTTGGCACCTTTTTTTTGAGGGATAATAACGCCAAATGTGGTCTATGGATTTTTGTTACACACTGAATTGCCACAGCATTTTTTAACCTTAAACTTCAAGTAAAATTTTACGGAGAATTAATTATATGACATTTTTTCCCTCAATGATGCGTAATAAATATTTATTAATACTATATGAAAGGCTATTTTTTAAATTATAGATGATATTATTCAAATTTTTAACTACACTCATGTCCAAAATTATCTTTACATACCCAAAAATGATGATATTCAATGAAATATCGAATCAATGTGATCCGTATTTGCAGGGAATGTGTGAAAACCAAGCCTAATTAGCATTATCCAATCAAAAGTAATCAAACGGTTTGTGATATGCAAATCTAGGCGTTACGTCATCCAAGGGTGAATCAAGCGCTTTGCGCAAACTGAATATTTGAGTGAATTTCTGCAACATTGCGTTTGATTTCAGTGTGTAGGGACTCAAAGCGGTTTGTTATGGCTTCGAAGTATCATTTGGAAGAATCTGTAAAGTGGTGAATTATCGGCGGCCGTTTAGAAGCAGGGCAGTCAATCATGGAAACAGCAAACATGTCTGAATATTTCAAGACAGACAGTCTCTAAGCTATGGAAACAGTTTCAAAATGATGGAAGTGTTGTAAGGAGGCCTGGACAAGGTCGGAAACGAATGATAACTGCTTCTGAAGATCAGTATCTGGCATTAACTGCCCGTCGTAACAGAAAGGCTACTGCTCGCGAGTTAAGTTCAGAGCTTGCAGCCGCCACTGGAACTGTTGCATCACGGCAAACAATATACAGAAGGCTTAATGAAAAAGGCCTTTATGCCAGAAAGCCAAGGGTATGTGTTTTACTGTCTTCACAGAAAAAGAGGGATCGCTTTAATTGGTGTAAAGAACATCAGAACTGGACTGAACATCAATGGTCCCATGTTCTCTTTACTGATGAGTCGCGGTTTAGTTTAACTGGCGATTCTAAACGTGTTTACATCTGGAGGGAGTCAGGAACACGAAATGATCCCTCGAACATTGTGGGAACGTGACCGTTTCGGTAGTGGAGGTGTGATGGTATGGGGTGGAATAATGATCAATGGACGTACGCCCCTACACGTGTTCAGCAGCGGATCTGTGACAGGCCAGATATATCGAGATGAGGTCTTAGATCCTTATGTAAGACTTTTCAGGGGTGCATATGGACCTGACTTTTTATTTATGGATGATAATGCCCGTCCACATCGAGCAAACCTCGTTGATGAATTCCTTGAAAGGGAAGACATTAAGCGAATATATTGGCCACCAAACTCTCCTGACCTTAACCCGATAGAGAACTTATGAGACTACCTTGGAAGAGCAATTGCACGTATACATCCTCCTCCTAGAGATGTAAATGTTTTGAAGACGGCATTGCTGGAAGAGTGGAGATTAATTCCCCAAACTGTGGTTAACAACGTTATTTCCAGCCTTAAAACACGTTGTGATATGTGTGTACA